GCTGTACTGGAGGATATCAAGGGTTGCAGACAGTAAAGGGCATCAGTGGCACAGGCAGGTGTGTAGCTAGGGAAATAGACAGTTGTAGAGGCATTGTGGTCAATGGAGAGTGGGAAGTGGAAACCAACTTGCAGGAAGAGCTTTATTTGTCCAGAGACACATGCAGAAGGAAGTGAGTTTGGAAAGGCGTAGAGAAATGTGAATGGGAAATACAGAAACAAGAGCTCAGAAATAGCCTGGTTAGTGAACGAGACCATTGGAGTAAGAGACCACAAGAAATGAGAGGGCAAAAAGAGAGGGCAGTTAAGAGAGTTCTTATGAAGGAACAAGGTTTACAAAATTGCTCATTATAAATTACCTCACTGCAGTCTCTGTTGCTGTACTGTCCAGCCTTTACAAAATGTTTAATGACAGTAAATTTTCAAAGTAAAGTTTCTTGTATTAAACTCACTCATTATCAGCTCTCTCCCTGTGAATTCTATTACTAGCACACACACTGTAAACTATGTTACAGTGTAAACTCAATATCAACTCTCAATGTCAACTCTATGTAGTGTCTGACATTTAATTTAATTGGCAACAATGGGACTGAATACCAAGTGCTCCAGTGAAATGGCAGCCAAGCCGGTATGTCCTGTTTTATGTCACTGCTCAAAACAGGTTTCTAAGCTCAGACGTGCAAAATAACTGAGACTGTAAATGGTGCAAGTTTTCCCCTTAAACCCATTTCAAGAAAGATAGAGTGAAAGAAACAATGAAATGATAGAAGGAAGGAAGAAAGAAAGGGTGGGAGTAAAAGAAATTAAGAAGAAAATAAAAAAAGGAAGGGAGGTTTGAAAAAGAAAATGAGAAAGCAAAGAAAGTCACTTTATCATGTGCTATTCACAACTTCAGGATTTTTAAAAGTGCTTCACAAGTAATTAAGCACTTTTGAAGTTAGTCACCGTTAGAAACTCTGATTGTAAGTTTTTTCATGTTCCTCACTACATCTTGCATTTGAGACTTTTGCAATACAAACTTTTAACATAACATTCTCATCAAACATTTTCACGGTAAACTTTCGTGACACATTCACAATACGATGTATCAAAATATTTGCTTCATGATCTCTCTTGCAGTATACATATTCACTTTGAACTTTCGCTGTAAACTTTCTCACTGCAATCTCTCTCACTATCAAGTGCGTCATATAAATTGTCTCAATATAAGCATTCTCATAAGAAACTCTATCCTTGCAAACTCTCAGTGTCAACCCTGAGAATAAACTCCCAAATTATAAAATTCTCTCCTTATAAATTCCATAAATTATCCAATCTGGAAGTTGTCTTATTGTAAACTTAATAAATATACTTTCAGTTTGTAATTGTGTATCATATGTTTAACATGAGAACTCATCAACAATGTTATTATTCATTAATTCTGGTCTCTTGTTAAGAGTCATGCACAGATTTACCAGAACAAAGCTGGGATTTAATGTTTTACATTGTGACAGGTGACTGGTTTGCTATCACGGTGTTATTTTCTGTTTAAATCAGTTGCTGAGCTTTTTAAAGAGACTGTTAGCAACTGTTTTCAAACAGGCTACTAAGGAAGTTTACATCAACAGTGCACGATCCAGGTGAAGTTAAACACTGTGTAGGTTCCTAACTAACCTGTTTGCTTTTGAAGTATGAACTGGATATGCATTGGCAGGCAGCAGGATGGACGAATACAACACTACTGAATTAAGGGGTTCAAATAGGTTGTAGAAAAACTGGTAAGCAGTTAATAGCTTGTACTCAGCTGTGCCCCATCAACTGACTTTTATGGGTCATGGCAGATGCAAGTAGAGAGTTTTGATACATTGAGGAGTTCAGTTGGGTGATGTGCAGGATAACAGATAGGTAACAATTGCTATTTTAGAATTCATTCTTAGGATATGGCAATATTGGTGAGGTGATATTTAATGATCATTTCCAGTCATCCTCAGGATATTAAATGTCAACTGTGCAGCAGGAGACTAAAGGCTTGTATGGGTAAAACTAGGTATAATGCCCTTAAAGAATTTAGTGACTCAGTTGGATTGTTACAACACTTGCTTTCATGGTCACTTTTTGGTGCTACCTTAAAGTTTTCCAAGTGCACTGAATTCAGTTACACTGCCCCACTTAAATGATGGTCTCATAATATTGTGCTTACTGTAGGCTTCAGCACTCTTCACTTAGGCCCAGCAGATACTGAAAATGTGTACGCAAGAAAGGGTTTGACCACAAAATGTTTTTATATAGCACCTTTATCAGAATGGGACATTTCAGGCACGTGACAGGAGAATCAAAAAGAAAATTTCAGCATGGGCTACATAAGGAGATAGTTGGACAAAAGATTACAAAGGTACAATTTATGAAGAATTTTGACCAAGGCAAGAGACATCAAACTGTGTAAAAGTGGAGGTAGGGTAACTGTAGAGCTTAGAGCCCAGGCAAATGAAGATGGTGGAGTGACTGAAATTTGGGAAAGCTCAAGGCTGAAAATAGATGAATGCAGATATCTCAGAAGGTTTTGAGACTGCACGAATCACAGAGATAGGGAATAGTGGAGCCATGACTTGAAATGTAAACCAGGATGAGATTTGTAAAATTGAGATATTGCTTGACTCAAAGGTAATTTAAGATTTCACGAAAGCATTTAATAAGATTATTATCGAAGGTAAAAGCTCAGAAAGTTGGGGCTGGCACACTGGAATGGATAGAAGATTAGCTGGCTAACAGGAAGCAGAGAGTTGGCATGAGTGGTCGGCAAGGTCGGCAAGCAATGGCGAGTGTTGTGCTACAGAGATCAGTGCTGGAACCTCAACCGTTTACAAATAACAGAAATGACTTGAATGGAAGTATGGTTACCAAACTGGTGCTGAAATAAAGATAGGTTGGCAAGTAATTTGTGTAGAGAACCTAAGACACTGCAAAAAAATATAAACAGTTTAAATGAATGGGCGAAGATTTGGCAACATATAGGAATCATAAATTTATTGAAACATATGGATTCTGAAGTAACTTAGCAGGGTAAATGCTGAAAGGATGTTTTCCCTCATGGGAGAGGCTAAGATCAGGGTATAGTCTCAGAATTAGGGGATGCCAATTTATGATTGAGATCAGGAGGAATTTCTTCTCTCAGAAAGTTGTGAGTCATTGGAACTCCTTGCCACAGAGAACTGTGGGGGCAGAGTCTCTATTTATTTAAGGCTGTGATAGATAGATAGAATCTTGATCAGTCGGCGGATTAAGGGATAGAAGGAAAGGGCAGGAAATGGACATCAAGAATGTCAGATCAGCCATTATACTATTGAACGGTGGAGCAGGTATGAGACATTAAACATCCTACTACTGTTCTTATTTATTATGGTCTTAAGGCCTTAGACAGAGTTCATTGTAGGAAAATGTGAAACAATCCATTTTGACACAAAGGATACAAAGCATATTATCTAATTGGTGAGAGATTGCAGAGATCTGAAATGCAGAGGGATCTGAGCGTTCCAAGTTCATCAATTGCAAATGACTAGAATGAAAGTACTGCAAGTGTACAGAAACACTAATAAAATATTATAATTTATTGCAAGGGGAATTGAATAAAAAAGTAAGAAAGTCATGCTTCATTTATATGATGAGGGCTTCACTGGCTGGGCCAGCATTTATTTGCTCATCCCTAATTTAAGAGTTAAGAGTCAATCACATTGCTGTGGGTCTAGAATCACATGTAGGCCAGGCCAGGTAAGGATGGCAGTTTCCTTCCATGAATGGCATGAGTGAACCAGATGAGTTTTTCCAACAATTGAGAATGGATTCATGGTCATCATTAGGCTCTTAATTCCACATTTTCATTGAATTCAAATTCCACCATTCTGTCATTATCGGATTCAACTCCCAGTCTCTAGACCATTACCTAGGTCTCTAGATTAATAGTCCAGTGATAATACCATTAGGCCATCGCACCCCCATCTTGTGCACAGCAAGATCACGCAAGTAACAATGTAATAATGAAGAGAAAATCTACTTTATTTTCCATCATTGTGAGAGATTATCGTTCAAGGGTAACAGAGAGAACTCCCCTGCCCTCCTTTGATACAGTGTTAGAGGATCTTTTATATTCACCTGAAAAGCTGGAGATGCCTCAGTTTAATGTCTGAAGACAGCATCTCCAACAATACAAGGTTCCCACAGACCAGCGCTGGGAGCATTAGACCCAGACTATTGTGCTCAAGTCACAGAATTTGGCGTTGAACCACCCGATTCAGACATAGTAGGAACTGCCGATGCTGGAGAATCTGAGATAACAAGGTGTAGAGCTGGATGAACACAGCAGGCCAAGCAGCATCAGAGGAGCAGGAAAGCTGATGTTTCGGGCCTAGACCCTTCATTT